TGTAATCCAAATAATGGAATCTAACCATGTCAATAGAAGTTAGCCATGGTATTGAATCCTATATCGATATATAGCTACAAAACTCTAGTACCTTTATGTTGTCCTGTAATGGATGTCTATCCGCAAATGTAAAAGACCTTCGCAAGTCTAATAATGTTTACTGATCTTGTATGTTTAAAGATATGATTATGATGCGTCTTTTTACTTTGAAGTCTCGACTTGATCCTTTATATGCCTAATTCTAGTGAAAAGGCTTAAAACACAGATGTGTATGAGTCAGCCAAAAGGAGCAGAAGACTAACCGAAAGGCGGAAACTAAGGTCACTGAAATTTCACGACGACGACTGAGATATCGTCTGAACTTTTCCTTGTAACAGCCTCCTCTGCGAGGTGCTTTGCTGCAGACTTCGCATCTTTTATTCCCTTGATCGAGTCAACGGCTTCTTGATTTGACATAACCTGTGAGATTTTGAACAATCAGCAACCATACAAGTAAATTTGTTGAAAATATATATTGCTAGAACAAAACCTTCCACAGTCCATCACTTGCTAGGATAAGAAAGTCTGCATCATCACCAATTATCTCCACAGTAACATATGGTTCTGAACTCAAATGCATCTTTAAACTCTTATCACCAAATGCCCTTGCCACAGCCAGTTGACCATCAACTCGAGGAACATCCCCTGAGTTGGTTCAAGACAAACAAAATTCAGCCATATGCAACAACAATACCAGAATATATTTGCATAAATGTAATCGAATTTGATACCAGGAAAGTTTGAAACGAATCCGCCTCTGTTCTCGATTTCATCTTTCTCCATGTTTGGCTCATGATCAATTGAGAGCTGCTTCGCAACACCATCTTTGCAAAGAACAGCTCGAGAGTCACCAACATTAGCAACCACCAACTTCTGACAATTGATCAATATCGCAGTCACAGCAGTCGAACCACCTTTCCCCAAATCAGCTGCCTTGTCTAGAATCGTCATATCAGTTATATAATAAGCTTTCTTTATAGCTGTCTCGGGCTCTTGCCAGAAATTCGGCTAAAAAGGAGAAGAACACAAATGTCATATTCCCTCAAATTAACCGAGTTTCAGTCAGTGTTTAGATAAACTAGCTCCATTTACCTCTTTCAAGATGTTCTCGAACAAATGCGAGCATAAGTAGTCAGGAATCTCGTGGCTAAGATGGCCGTCAAAGATAGCAAAGAGACCAAGCTCATTGTCATCAACTTCCTTGAATTTGGCAACCACATAATCCTCCATCTCATGAAAAGCTTTCCCTTTCACCAAGTGGAAACCATGTGTGATCTGCTTCGACATCTTGCTCTTCCCTTTCCCTGAATCTGCTGAAGCAGATGCACCAAGCCCAACTTTCTCCTGCACCAAAGATAGTAACAGAGACGCAATTTCTTAATTATACGAGATTTGACCACTGACAGTGATTAAAAAAAACCCCAAAAGTGTATACAGTATCGTATTGGGATCAAAAATCAAAATTTCCCAATATCAAAAAACCTAAATCGACGCCAAATAGCAACAATCGACCAAAATTGATTCGAGATCTCTCAGATTCCAACAAGCATCACATGGATTCTCACTATGTTTAACCAAATCCAGTTCCAAAACGATCCGCGAAGAACATATTTAGATTACAAAATCTACTCGAATTTACTGTATACATATAACACTCGAAAAATCTCGAACCGAAAGAGACTGATCAAGTAAACATAGGAAACAAAGAAAGAATCGATCGATACCTTGACGGATTCCTTCATCTTGTGGAGAATTTCCTTACCGGTCATGGCTCGAAGATCAAAACACGACTATATATGTAATGTATCTGTAATAGTATAATAAAGAAGAAGAAGGCGAAAATGCATACGAGATTATCTTGTTTC